ATAATGCTTGTGTAACAGGCACTCCTTGAGCAAAGGCCAAGGTGGGCGACCATTGTTGATTTTGAGAAATCATATCATGCTAGCTATCCAGTGCTTTCTCTTTGAACATAACATTGACCTAATGTTTTAGACATGCATGTAGTGAACAGAAAATAACATGAACAACAAGTTGTCAGCTCTGCCACAGAGAACAAACGAGATTCATACCCCACTCTCAAGGAATGAGTGGTTTCCCAAGACCTTGGGTTTCAAAAGTCTCTTCCTCTGAGAACATGGCATAGGGGGACATAAATCCTTGAGTAAACTCCAAGCTCTGCCAAAGGGAAAGAAGTGAGTGTACATGTTATATTTAGGTTGCCATGGCAAATACCTGACCTAGGCAACTTGAAGGAGGAAAGACTTATTTTGACTCATGGTCAGAGATCATAGTCTGTGAGCTGTTGTTCTGGTTCCATTGTTTCTAGGACTGTGGTAAGACAGAACATCATAATGGAACAGGGTAGTGGAGTAGAGCTGTTCACTTCATGACAGCCAGAAAGCAGAAAGGGACAGGTCAGGGACAAGGTATATCTTTCCAGGACATACCCTTAGTGACTTACTTTAACTAAGCCCTACCTCCTACTTTGCATCATCACCCAGTAATGCCATCATATTATGAATCCATCATTGATGAGTCAGAGCACTCATGATGTAATCATTCCCAAAGTCTTACCTCTGAGTACTTCTGGATCAGGAACCAAGCCTTTAACACACAAGAGCTTTGGGGGGACACTTCATATTCAGAGCATAACAGATTTGAGGGCAATTCATACTTCTGTTACTCATCCCATTTCCCCTAATTTCATAGCTATTCTCTCCAAAGCTTGTGACTTGGGCATGTGTCTAGATCCATGTGTTACCCACAGCCACTCATATTACCCAAGCAAGATCTTTTCTCCAAAAATGCAAACCTCCTCTGAGAGACTGGGAACTGTTGTCCTCCAATGTTCTGTGCTCAGGGTTCTTTCCTCCTGGAAGATCCTTATTCATGGAACCCTCTCAAAGCATTATGGGCTCCACATTGTATTTATAGCTGGGATGACATGCTCCTCTATTGTTCCACCTCTATGGGAATCCTCAAGTTGATTAACGGTAGATCAGTCCAACACTTGCCCTTTTCTGTTACCACTCCATCTTAATATTCTCCTGCCTTCCTCAGGAGTGGCTGAATGATTTGTGAGTCTCCTGGGCCAAAGAAGGATTGTCTAGATGGGGCGCTGAGCAGAGTGCCAAGCATCACTCCCACCTAGATAACTGATGGGTGAAGTATATCCTGCTGTCAATTGGCAACACCCCACAGACAGGTGACAGGAAAAACTAAGTTGAGCTTCTAAAAAACTCCCTGGAGTTTGGCATGACAGAAGTCTGTAACCTTGTTAAACTGCTCAGTACCTTCCTTTCCTCCTTTAATACTGGCTTTACCTAGTCTGGGGGCAGAGACATTTCTCAGGTATGTATCAGAACTGTTTTTGGCATTTTTCTGAGACTAGTGCTTTGTGGGCATTGTCTCCCAGGTCACCAATGCCTGACTACTAGTAGTGTCTAGTTATCTGAGTTTGGGGGCATGGTCAGTAAGGGGGTATGGAGGTAAACTGATGGAAAGACAATTTGAGCCAAGGAATTTGACTAGGGGAGGGAAAGGAAGAAGAGAGGGGCAGGAGATAAAAAGAAAGTGCATAGATAACTTCTTGATGGCATCATTCAGCTCCACCTATATATACAAGCAGAAGCAGGATCTTAATTCAGTGTATACTATACACACACTCCTGTGTTTTGAGAGACGTAATATAAATTCCAGAGACTACTGTTTGGTCAGAGAGGATATAGATCGTTCACTGTTTTTAATGGCCCACTAAAATGTCAGGTAAACTGATTGTTTTCCTTAACAACTGCCTTCTCTGTGGTTCATTGATTTAATCTGCTCTCTGCCCTCATTAAAATGGGCATGTTCCTCTAACAGGTTATAGCTGCCCAATGTCTAAAACAGTGCTGTCCAATAGAACTTTTTGTGATGTCTGAAATATTCGATATCTGCTCTAATACAGCAGTATGAGTCACATGAGGGCACTGAGTGCTGAGAATATGACTCGTGTGACTAAGAAACTAATTTTCTTTCATTTAAAGTTAAATAGTCACATGTGACTAACAGCACCTGTATTAGACAGCACAGGTCTGAAGTTCACTCTGACCTGTGTGCTCTGGTATTATGGGAAGGAGGCTCTGTACTGCTGTGGTTTATGTGATTGCATGAATCAGTCAGTGTTCCACCTGACCTAAAATGGGTGCTCAATAAGCCTTAGTTAAAATACCTAAAATGAAATACTTGTGTGAAATGCAGGGGTGCGATTTTCATGTGATCACAGTGAGTGATGGGGGCTGAGGCAGACAGAATTATTCTTAAGGATTTCCTCTCCGTCTTCAGGTAGAATATGATTAGCCCCTTTTTAAATTAAGGGCAGATGCCAGGAGACTGTTTAATTCTGTGCAATAAGATGTTAGTCGTGGTTGCCAGGCAAGGGAAAGGTATGGTTCCAGGGATTCTGAAGAAAAGCTTGTTGCCAAAAAGCAGAAGATGGTGATGAAACTTCCCTTGCCCAGGTATGGATGAGATTCTTTGAGGAGGGGCTGGATCTCGTGGTTTAGCCTGAAAGCTCTCTTCTGAGCCCAGGAAACTGCCTCTGCCCCTCATCTGATTGTGAATTTCCCTGTACAAATATTGCCCAGTGCCATATTTTGCTCTTCTTCTGTGGTCTGAAGGTTGAATGTCTGTATTGTCTTCTTTTTTTCTCTCACCACACATTTGTTTGATCAAGTCCTGCTCAGTTTATTTCTCAAATACTATCAAATATGTGTGTGTGTGTGTGTGTGTGTGTGTGTGTGTGTGTATTCCTTTTCATCACCATTTCCACTGTTTTAGTTTTTGTTTGTTTGCTTTTGGTTTTTTGAGGCAGGAGTTCTCTGACCTCAAACTCATGATTACCTGTTTCAGCCTTCTGAGTGCTAGACTTATAGGTGTGTACCAAGGTGCTGGGCTCACAGAAACTTTTGCCTGGACTATTGCTGCAAGCCCCTATTTTCCGGGCCTCTTCTGTCTGAAAAGTGCAGTTTTTACAAAGATGCCTTACAATCCTGGTGGTACAGATCTATTTCCACTGTTTTAGTTTTTGTTTGTTTGCTTTTGGTTTTTTGAGGCAGGAGTTCTCTGACCTCAAACTCATGATTACCTGTTTCAGCCTTCTGAGTGCTAGACTTATAGGTGTGTACCAAGGTGCTGGGCTCACAGAAACTTTTGCCTGGACTATTGCTGCAAGCCCCTATTTTCCGGGCCTCTTCTGTCTGAAAAGTGCAGTTTTTACAAAGATGCCTTACAATCCTGGTGGTACAGATCTTCACTGTCCAGCACATTAGCCACATGTCTGCTATTCAAACTTTGAGGCTAGAGAGATGGCTCAGTGGGTGAAGGTACTTGTGGCTAAGTACACACGTGCATGTGGGGCACGCGTGCACACACACACACACACAATGAATTAATGTGAGTTTAAAATAAATTGTAACTGATTAAAACGATTCAAAAATGTTAAAAAAATTTTTTATTATTTTTATTTTATGTGTATGAATGTTTTGCCTGTATGTATGTAAGTGCACGTGGGACTGTTGTTAGCCACCATATGGGTGCTGGGAATCGAACCCTGGTCCTTTGGAAGAAGAGCAAGTGTTCTTAACTGCTAAGCCATTTCTCCAGCCCCCAATTCAAAAATTGAAAAAAATTTCATCATTTTATGAGTGTGTGCACGTATGAAAGTGCAACCATGTTGTCAAGAGGAAGTTAGAAAAGTGCCGGCATTAGAATCCCCTGAACTGGAGTTTCAGGTGATTGTTAGCCACCATGTGGGTGCTGGGAATCGAACCCACATCCTCTGCAAGAGCAGTCAGTGCTCTTAATGGCTGAGTCATCTCTCCAGTCCCCAAATGATGCAAAATTTAAAGTAAAATTCCTCAGCATTATTAGACATCTTTTAAATGCTCAGTAGCCACATGTAGCCAGTGGCTGCTCTCCTGGACTATGCTAGTAGAACAAATTTTCACCACTGCAGAAAGTTCTACTGGACAGTACTAGACAGACCCTTCTAAACCATTCTACATTTGCTAGGGTGAGCAAATTTCAACGCAAATCTAAACACGTCCTTTTTTTTGCTTAAAAGCCTCGTGTTTTCATTTCCATCAGCAGTAGCTAAATACACAAAAAATACTTTTGAATCCTTACTGCTGCTTTGTGAGAATTTTGTTTTTCTCTTTTTTCATGACTGGCTCTCTAATTTGTTGTCTTTATGACGAAACTGGGTTGCAATGAAAAAAAATCGTTCGAATCATGTGATAAACAAAAAGTTTGAAAAACCTGGAGGAATGGAATATAGATCTGAGCTCCTCAATCGGGCATATTTTGCCATCAATAATTGACTTTTTGTTAACTCTGTCTTGTTCTACAAACACAGAACCTCTGCTGGTTTCGTCGACACAAGCCTCCCCCGCCCTTTCTTCATCTCTGCTTTTGCTACTAGTTCTCTCCTCTCTGTGCCTGGACTTCTCGTCATCATTTAAGCCTCAGATTAGGAAACATCGCCGGGAATCCTTCTCTGAGAGAAAGCTCCAGAGAGGGCTGGGTTCCCCTTTTTGATTTTTCATAGCATCACACAGATACCCATTTACAGGGTTACACTGTAAGTGGTTTAGTTGTTCGTTTCCGGCAGTATAGTACATTATTTCAGTGCAGGTACTTATTTATTTTTTTCATCTCAAGCAGAAGCTCAGTATCTGACACAAACTAAGCTTTTATTTAATAACTATTCAAAGAATAAACTAGAGAATTGAAGGAAGGACAAATCAACTGGGGTGACAACAAAAGTGCGACGCAGACGCCGGCCATCAGAGGGCACCCGCGGGGAAGCCCAGTGCGCAGGCGCGTGGGAGGAGGCCGTGGCGGCGGTCGTGGCTGCGGCCCGGGGAAGTGAATGGTTTTACCCAGAGGGCCGTGCGCCGCCTTTCTCGGCTGGCCCCGGCGTGCCCGCCAGCTCCTCCCTGGCCATGGCGTTCACGTTCGCGGCCTTCTGCTACATGCTGGCTCTGCTGCTCACCGCCGCGCTCATCTTCTTCGCCATCTGGCATGTGAGTAGCGGAACCAGGAACGAGGGCGAGCGCCTTCCGCTCGGGGTCGCGGCTGCGTGGAGCCCCGGCGCCCGGCACTTGGGAGGATTGGGGCGGGTGGCGCGGGCCGCAGACCGGGAGTCTCCGCGCGCTGCCGGGCCAGGGGGTCGTGGGGGAGTGGCGCGTGCGGGGTCGGGGGCCGCGGGGGCTCGGGGACGTGCAGGCCGCGCTCCACTATTCCTGAGCCGGGCTGGGTGGGGCGGCCGCGAGGCGACGGGCCCCACTGTGCAGCGCAGGGCTTGTGCGGACCCCGGGCCCCGCATCCGGGAGGATGTCCAAGTGTGCACCGAGCGCACCCACTTGGCGTGAAGTTTTCCGAATTCTTATTCTTGAAATACAGATGGCCTCTTAAGGGTTCCTCAGGAGCGCAGCCAAAACAGATAGTTGTAAGCTACTCAAGCTGAATTTCCAGCTCTAGTTTGTACCACTTGGTGGCTGCTTTTCTAGTTGAACCGCCGTCCGGAGCTCTTTCCTGCTGAACTTTGATGCAGGTTGGATTGATTACTTCGTTGGCTGCATCGCCCGAGTTTTCCTCCTATATCATACTTTGGCCGCGGGAGTTTCTCAAGAGACAGCCGTCCCAGCCACCTCTGTAGTCGGGGTTGCCTGATTTAGTAGGAGGAGGGTAAATTTGATTTTGAAAATGCTCAGAAACCTTAAGCTCCTTTAGGACAGTGCTTTCTGTTACTCATGTTGCAGGATAGACGCACATGCTTGCTGGGCCCTGTAAGGAACAAGCCACAAGTTCGCCGTAGTTCTTTCTACAGCGATTATTAGAGGGTTTCTGTATCACAGAATTAGCATCGAGAGCTCTCTGGAAATCAGCGTTCGTTTAAAAGTTTATCTCATTTGTTTCTACCCTCCCTATATTCTAGTACCTTTTGAATATTGCTGAATTTGAATGATGGAGCATGCTAACCCTCGTTAACATTTGTCGGATTTCATCGCCACCCTGATTTCTTATGTATAAAGGGTCATTGTGATTAAGTGCAGATAAATGTATTCTGTGCAGAAGTCCCAGAAGTGGAGTGATGTCACAGATCCTTTTCCTTTTGCTGAACAGTGTGGTACTTCTTTTAGAGACTGCCTGCTTGGCGAATGGGGAATGCTAGTGTAGGCTGCTCACTGATAGAAATGCCTGCTACTTCAAAATGCTCATCCGTAGGAACCAAAAACCCCGGGAGCATCTTACGTTCTTTGGTGGAAAAAATTAAGATAATGTGGGATGTGAGCTAGCCCCACCTAAGCCTCTCAATGAAACTAAAATGTCTGGCTCCCTTCCACCTGTAGATTCAAATCACTTGCTCTTCTCTTTTAACCCCCTCTGGGATGACGGAAATTCACTGAAGAAAGCTGGGTGGGGCATTTTTCTCACATTTTCCAGGTTGTGATTTTGATTATGGAAAACCTGTTCTGAACTTTTTCAAAATGAATAATTTCATTTAAAAGGCATGAGGCATGTACTTGGATAAAGTAGGTTTTTTTTTTTTTTTTTTTTTTTTTGGTGTTTTTGAGCCAGGCTCTCCCTGTAGCCCCACCTGGCCTGGAACTCACAATGTAGACCAGGCTGGCCTCGAACTCACAGAGGTCCACCTGCCTCTGTCTCCCAAGTGCTGGGATTAAAGGCATGCCCCACCACGCCTGCGTAGATAATTTTTTAAAAATATTTTTATTTTATGTGTATGCATGTATTACCTGCACCCATGTGGTGCAGTGCCTGCAGAAGTCAGAAGAGGGCTTGGTCAGAAGAGGGCTTGGTTAGATGGGGGTGTCGGATCCCCGGGAACTGGAGTTAGAGACAGTTGTTAGCTGCTTTGTGGGTACTGGGAATCAAACCCAGGTCCTCTGCAGGAGCAGCTAATGCTCTTAACTGCCGAGCCATCTTTCCAGCCCTGTGAAGTATATCATTTTAAGTCCTATTATAGATTTTGAAAAATTATAACATAGGTCAGTGGGGAGCTTTATACTTAGGGATTTCTCAGTTCAGAGATGACTACATCCTAATATTCTTATAGAAACCCTTTCAGCAGTTTACCCAAAGGCCACTGTAAGTCACTTCAAAGAAGATGTTCAATTAAAACAGTTAGCTTTGGGCTAAGAATATGGGTCAGTTAGTAGAGTGCTTATAGGTGCAAGTGCTACAAAGCCTTGGGTTCTATCCCTAGCACTACATAAACCAGCACCACATAATCCAGGTGTAATAGTGCATGCCTGTAATTCCGGCACTGGGGAGATGGAGGTAGGAGGGCCAGGAGTTCATTCAAGGCCAGTCTGAGCAACATGAAGTTCTGTCTCCAAAGGAAAAAAGTTTTAAAGATAAATTTTATTTTAATTTGCATCTTGTTATAAGCAAGTAATTGTATTGTTGCAGTTATGATCCTTGTCTTGGGCTTTTGTTACTAAAATAGACTAATGATGTATAGCTGACTGTTAATCTCCATAACCAATCAAAAATTATTGTCTTCTATAACTACATTTAACATTTATCTTTTTAAAGATCACTAACAAAGGAAAACTCCTTTTGATGAGCTCTGTACATTTTATATCTTTAGCCTAATTGCTTTCTTTCTCTCTCTCTTTCAACTTTTTTAAACTTCCTTCCATTCAATAAGTGTTTATCAAACAGTTATGTGCTAACCAGTAAGTCATATTTTAGACCCTGGGACATAGTAACGTACACAGTGAAATCCTTGCTGTCCTTGATACTACATTTTAATGTTTAATTGTTTTTTTCTCCTGTTCCTGTTTAGAATTTTTATTACAGGAGGACAGAATTTTATACACATCTAGATATTAAGGAAAATATGTATTATGAAACTAAGAACTTAAACAGAAATAACACATTAAAAGTTAGAGATATTTACTGATCACTGATATATAGTGACACTATCTCACATCAAAAGATACTGTTCTGAGCCCCTTAGGGCAAAGTAGGTGAAGTTCTGTGTCCCCTGGGCGATCAGTGGCACCAACTGAAATAGTTCCTCAGAAACCCTTATGCTTTGATTCCTGGCACCTGGTTAATCTACCAACTGGTATGGAGCCCCTGCTTTGATTCTTAGTACTTTTGACTTTGAAGATCTGTGTAAAGACTCTTAAGGTGAAAAACCATATTCTTCGAGAAGTGTGGATAAAAAATAGCTGTAGAAATGTATATGCTTGGGAATAAACAGAGTGTTTGAGCCCATCCTAGGGTCCCTGAGCACCATGCCAAGGGAGGGGCTGGTGCAGATAATTAAAAATGGTCCTTCTCCCTGGGGTCCACACAGTCCTGGGGGCAGACAGACTGCATACAGATACCATACTCCAGAGTGAGGGGTGCCATGATGGAAGTGTCACAGACATGGAGGTGTAGACAAGGGTGCAGTAATTTCTACCCAAAGGAGTCAGAAAACACCTGTAGAAAGGAGTGGTACAGGAAGAGGGGTTTTTAGCATAAGGAAGAGTTTGCTTAGTTGTATAGGTGGGGAAAAACCATTTCAGGTAGAGAAAATAACTTGAACAGAGCATTGGGAAAATTGAAAGCCACTTGGGATCAGATCGTAGAAATAATGACATGTTTTCAGGTTTTAAATCTGATTTCTGGTTCTCTTTTTAGCACATTTGAATTTACTATAAATTGGTACCTGAAATGGTACACTTTTGTTTTATTCAACAATTTTTTGATGGTGGGATATATTTGTTGTTGCTTGTTAAGAAAGTGAGTGGTTATAACTGTTTTAATTTTATTTTAGATTATAGCATTTGATGAACTGAAGACCGATTACAAGAATCCTATAGACCAGTGTAATACCCTGAATCCTGTAAGTTATAATATAGGATTTATCTTTGAGTTTTAAAATGTATCTCTGCTTTTTACTTGATGTAATTTGAAAATGGCCAATACTCTCAGTAGCATGATGTATTTGTATGTTTTGAAGTAGGCAGAATAAAAGCACTAGTTTTTTCCTGTCATGCTTGACTATCCTGACTATATTAATCTGCCAGTGATCTTGTCAGCTGTCATACTAACGTTCTTCCAATCTGCTTTTTACATTGTCGGCCAAAGACAGTTGAAAAGGTCAAAAAGATTAAAAGAGTCAAAATTGCACTAAAGGTGTGTACTGCTTTTTAGTTGAATGTTTTAATGCTACGTTCATTTCATGGGGAGGGCTAGGGAGTTTGTATTTGTTGTACTGTTCTGTTCATTGTGCTTGTTCATGTGCCTGTTGAGGTTTATAATTTCATGAAACTTCATATTTTATGCAAATATTTGCTTGCTGGCCCAGTCAAGTAGGGAAAGCTGTTAAATGCTTATGCATTTTTTAATGTTATAGCCATAGGCACATCTGTATTAAATTATTTGGTGCAGTATTTGCAAGTTGGCCAATATAAAATGACTTTAATGGTGCTGAGATTATTCTCGGGCTGTGACCTACCACGAGGTAGTGTGCATATGGACTCTGCAGTGTGGACTCACTGCCATATTTAGTTTTATCTGTGGTTATGTGTATCATGGAATAGATTGGTTCATTCAGCTGTTGTTTCTTCAGAGCCTTTCAGGTTGGTAGCTCTGCTCTCAGGCCATGGAATTTTGTTTGCAGTAATGCTGTCTTTTGGACTCAGAATTTTGTAGCTAGCAGTTTGTATATAAATGTCTACATGGTTATTCCTGGTGTATTATATCTACCTCAAGTTTTCTAAAACAGGCCTGTCTTACCTGAGCTGTGGTGGACTTATTGATAATGTGGCTCTATTGTGTTTAGGTTGGTTTATAGATGCTTGTTTTGTATCTGAAGGAAGATTCTCCTTCATTTTGTAGGTTTTATTTTGCCCGATTGGTCAGAAATTGAAGTCAGACAATAGAAAAAAGCATTTTATCTTTAGAAACTACATAAGATGAGAATTTGTGTAGACTTTATTGTGTAAAACAAATGCACTAGTATTCTACAGGATTTTACTTGGAAAGCATTTAACAAGTCAGTTTGCAGCTTTACCATTGCTTCCCAGGCAAATGGAATGATGCAGTAGATTTCTGGTTTGTCCTTAGAGAACTGTTTCTGTAAGACTGGATGTAGGTACAATTACAAGTTCATATTTACTAGCTATTTGCTTGCTCTTAGGAAATAAAACACGAGCAGATGAATCTGGTTGGAAAGTAATGTGTCATTGTCAAACCTCTTTAGTAGTTGTTGAAACCAGTTACCAAGAAATGAGGAAGCTGATTTTTTTGTTGTTGTTGTTATTAATAGTATTGTATGTTCTTTGGCATTTTGTTATTTCAAATTTCCAAATGATGAGGATAAACAGCTGGAATCAAGTGAGCACTTTGCTGGGTGCCAGGCTCTGCATAGAAGCAGTTGTCCTGGAGTTTGCATTCAGTTCTCATGACACCTGGAGCAGTAGGTATGTAGTTATTCTCATGAATAGGATAGTTCATTGAGTTGCTTTGTGAGGTTGAAGTATTTTGCCCAAAGTTACACAGTTAAGGTACAGACCACAGTTAGAACCCTTAGAAAGCCTGATTTTTGAAGCTCACGCTCTTTTGTACTATAATTTTAAGAGAGATTAATGTACTGAAACTTTTAAGAGAGACTAATTTCATCATAGTATATAGAGTGTGATTTCTGACTTTTCTCAATGGAAAGAAATTCATACTGAGAAAAGATGTGTGCTTGAGATGGCCTGCAGCTATAATGGGTGGGAAGGCCATGTTTACAGCTCGAATTGTGCTGTGGATAGGGTGCCGAAAATTGGCTGGACAGCAGTGCATCTGACAGTTTTCCCTATTTAAATCTGTTTTGACAGTTCTGACAAAGTATGGGGGAAGACAATATTTTTTAAAATGTTACCCTTAACAGAGAATATTGTTTTGCATGTTTAAATACTAATTGTTTCAGCCATGTTTGCATGAGGTATTTTTTTCTTGATACTAGATTTTATGTGAGCTTTGATTCCTAAATAGAATGAGTTTTGTGGTACTTATGGTGAAATTTTACCCTTGAAGAATGATTGGAAAAGTCTGATTTTTGTGAAAAATATATAATGTTTCTGGAGATTTTTGTTGTTGTCATTGTTTGTTTTATGAGGAGAGAGAGAGAGAGAGAGAGAGAGAGAGAGAGAGAGAGAGAGATTGATTTGTTTCTTATAAGAACTGGTCAGAGTCCAGACCACCTTTATTAGCATACCTTATTAATGATACGGTTTTAGAGCAGTGTGGGTCATGCTGATTTCAAATTGGTCTCACTGTACCTCAGTCTAAGTATAGGATGACATTTTGCAAGCTAATTTGTTTATTTAGGAATCAGTGGCTGATGTAAGCTTGTTAAGAGTTTAAAGAACTATCCTGTAACTTGAACTAATACTACAAAAGCAATTCTAGTGGAGCATTTAATGCAGATTTTTATTGATCTGTCCTGGTTATAGTCATTGAATTTCAAAGATGTCTTATGGATATTAACTTGTTTAGAGAAATTTGATCTTAGATAGATGCTGGCTTAAATGTTTGTTTTCTTTACAACTTTTTATATGCATGCAGAGCTTATCTTTGTTACTTATCACAATGCTTAAGTTTATAGAAAATATCTGGTTAGTGGCTTAGATTAGTTGGTTTTCCTAGGATTTTACTTAAAATAATATTCATTTAAAAATTCATGCTAGGGCTAGGGATGTAGCTCAGCAGTGGGGAACTTGCCTAGAATATATGAGGCCCTGGGTTTGATTCCCAGCACTGGCATGGAATTGGGAGTGGGCATGTTTTAAAACTCTGTACTTTTCAGTTGGAAAAACTAATATTGGATTAGTCAGAAGATGGGCTTCAATGTATGCATATTTATATTACTTCTATAGCCATGGCTTCTGGTCAAGAAAGATCTGGTTCCTAGTTTAGCCTGCTCTAAAGCCATTTGAGAAACTGGATTTGTAGCTGTGGTTTAGGGGTTTTGGCTAGAACTTGTTACAAATAATTATAACATTTTATGTAACAAACCCATTAGATTGAGGTATTTAGGATGAGAAAAAAAATGGCTTGCAATAAATTAAGTTTTGGTCCTTTTACAAATGCATTTTGTTTGAATTAATTTTTCTTTACTTTATAGTACTTACTATCAAAAGGGTTGTTTTCTCTATGAGTTCTGAGGGTCTACTGGTCTTCTGCCATATAGCATTTTGTTGGTAGGCAGGTGAAAGGAACCCAAAGGCCATGTAATAATGAGAACTCAGAAACCTGGAAATTTTTTTATTTCATGGTTAAGAATTCAGTCTTTTCCCTCCTACATTGCAGAAAGTTTGTCTTTTGCATTTGTGCATACTAATGGTGTTCTCTCTGACTGTGCTGAGATTATTGGCTGGTTGGCTTCCCATTGAAAAATTTGTGGTGAAGTGATGTGATTTGCTAAATATTGTACATGTAGCATTCGTGGTTTTGTAAAGGCTTAAAAACACTAACATAAACTTCTAAGTGGGAATTTGTTCTTGTGGATTTTTATCATGTTGCATGTGCTTAGGTATTACATTTTTGTATTTTTATTCATCGATGGAAACAAAAGCATTCTAATTGATTAGCAGATAACTGAACAATCTGGGTGGTAACTTTGTGTAATCTAAGGCATTGCTCTAATTGAGTTCTAAATTTCAAGTCTTTGCAGTAAAAGCTTTGTATGTAAGGTCAGTTTGCTTATCATGCTTTTGGTAAAAAGCTAATATGGAAATAAAACTCAGTAGCACCTTTCATTTCTGATTCTAAGAACAGTGATTGTTGCTGTTGTTATAGAGACTTGGCTGCCACCTGCTTTCCAGATAGGCAGTTGACAGAGCCAAGGCATTTTGATAACGGGCTTGTGTTTTTCTTGCAGCTTGTACTTCCCGAGTACCTCATCCATGCTTTCTTCTGTGTCATGTTTCTTTGTGCAGCAGAGTGGCTTACACTGGGTCTCAATGTGCCCCTTTTGGCATACCATATTTGGAGGTAATACTTAGATATACTTTGAATATTTTTTCTAATTTAAAATTTAATTTTACTGTGATCAACTTGGTTATTTTGTGTGTTATTTACCTAAATGAAGGTCAAAATTAGCATTTGTTTTTAAAAGCTCAAGTGGGTAAACAAATAACCTTTAGTGCCTCTTATAGAGCTTGTTCATTACTGTCTAAGGAATTTTTTAAAAGATGATATATGCTTTATATACAGTAACCTGTACAAATTTAATGTGCAACTAAATGGAGTCTATGCATGTATGCGCCTGTGAAATCACCACATACATCAAGATGTATAGCACTTCCTGCCCCAAGATTGTTACCCTACACCTTCCAAGACCGTGGACCTCTGTCAATTTAGATTAGCTTTGCCTGTATGTGTCTTCTTTTTCCTCTTTTACTTCATTATTTGCCCTGAATAGAGTTGAGATTTTTTTTTTTCAAATAAAATGTAAAGTTGTAATTGTTCTCAATTTTAGAAATTACATATAAAAAGCGTTTTGGTATAAAGTGGTATCACGTCTGTAATTGACTGAAAATTTTCAGAGAAAAAATGTACCCAGGGTTAGAGATAGAGCAAGAAGGATTAAAGCAAGTGTAGGAGTCACTGTTTGGAGACTCTGGCTGCAGGGGTTCTTGTAGATTATCTCGATACAAAATTCTGTTGAGAAAAAGTTTAAAAAAAAACAAAACAAAACCAAAAACCCCCTGCTTTCTCTTGCACAGTTATTCCTGTTTTTCTTGGCTTTTTGAAATGCAGAGACCACATGTGATTTGTGTAGCTGTCCCATCTGTCTCATTTAGGGACTGTAGTTTTAGGTGATAGAGGAAAGAATTCTACCTGTAAGTAAAAATCTACTTCTGTATCTGGAGCACCTCTCCCTGCAGTAGAAGCTGGAGAAGAAAATCTCTCTTTCCTGCCAGAAGGTCTTTGCCCTTCCACGTGGCTAACAGACTGTGTTTGTTTCAGGTATATGAGTAGACCGGTGATGAGCGGCCCTGGACTCTATGACCCGACAACCATCATGAATGCAGATATTCTAGCATACTGTCAGAAAGAAGGATGGTGCAAGTTAGCTTTTTACCTTCTAGCATTTTTTTACTACCTATATGGGTAAGTTTGAAACAGTGAAAGTGTGATCAGGCTCTGTTGCCTAACTCAGCTACAGGATCTGTGTCTCAACACCTTAGTGTCTTTTTTTTAATTAAA